AACAGGGCCAGAAGGAAGGTTGCCATGGGGAATAAACCCTCATCCTGAGGGAAGGGTGAGTAGTTTAAGGCCACTTGAGATAGTGAGCTAGGGACAGTATATTTAAACGTGATAGGGCATTTTATTTATTTCTTTTCACCCACTTACTGTTGTTATTCCTGCACCTTGTTTGTTTGACCTCCTATAAAATCGTTTTCATTGTTCACTCTGCCTGGTCCTCACGCTCATTTCAGCTAAAAGGGAAGTGTAAAGGCTTAGGAGGGTAGACCACGAGTGAGAGCAGACCCCACAGCTTCTGACATTCTTTCAGTTTCCATTAAATCTTCCACTTCAACCTCTCAGGAAGCCTTGCCAACCTCCAGGTGACACTGGAGGTTGGCAAGACGGGAGAAAATGTCTGCCTTGGAGGGTGGACTGTATGGCATTATACCCTCCCGAGGTCCCTCCCCTCCCCAAAGCCCACCCTGGCCAGGCTCCACCCCCAAACTCTCCAGGTGTTTCCCAACCCAGAGCTGGCAACTCTCCTCTCTAGCAGGTCTTGAAGTTGCAAGAGACACTTCTCCCACCACGACAGCCTATCAAAGCAGGCCTTGGCAACGAAGGCTCTCAGCATCTATCTTCACGGTCTGTATGTGGAATAGCCATCTGGCATTGAACAGAAGAGTCGTCTGAGTGAAAATGAGTAACCATCTAGAGATGGCTATCGAACCCAATTCCCCCGGCTTCTGCAACATAGTGGTGCTTCGGAAGATAAGTGTTTTGCCTGATAGCACATTTGCTATTGTTATGAGGAGGAAAGGGAGGGAGGTGGAGAGAAAGAGTGCAGATCTGTCTTCCGATACATAAGACAATCCCTCGAGAAATCTTACCGAGAGAGCAGTTTGCCAACTACAGAGTACGGTGGGAGCCGTTTGTCAGTTCGTAAGGCAGCACCGAAACAATAGTAGAAGTGAGTTTACTGGTGGAAGTTATTTGTGTACTATTATTCTTTTTTGGCAACAATTAGTCATTTTAATATACCAGGGATTCTTCTGTTTTGCCACAGCTTCCTAAGCCAATACGTGTAAGAAATGTGGTGTGTGCCTGAGTGTTCGCTCTTCTGCTTCTTTGCGCTTTTGTATTCACAGAGCTCCAGTTACTCCCCCCCCCCCATTGTATTCTGTCCTGCTCCCTTTACACAGAGCCTAGAACCAATTTTCTTGCAGCATTCTTGAATGGCCTTTTAAAAAAAACCCTCAGAAGCCGAGAAGCTGGGTTGTTTTCTTCTTCTCTTAGATACTGACTCTCTCTTTTCAGACAGAGTCTTGATGTTTGCCTTTGTAGCCAAGAAAATATGAGTGAAAGTTGTATCTGACGGGCAAAATGTTTTAACGCGAGAAGTACTTTTAGATCTGGTTATCTTAATTATGTTCTTTATGTCTTCTCTTCTTTGCAATTGATTGTAATGGTCTTTGACGATCTCTAGTAAATACTGTCTGGATACCTGATGGCACCAGGTCTTGTTCTTGACCCACAACAAGCAGATCTAAGGAACCAGGGAAGAACCTAGTTTCTTGATCTCAGAGTGTGCTCGGTGGTGGTTGGGAGAAAGAGCATTTGGAAGCACAAAATGCTGACCTCTGAACATTATTTATTTATTTAAATTAATGTCCCGCCCTCCCCGCCAAGCAGGCTTGCCAAGTACTTACCGTGATTTGGCGGGGGACACATACTTCTTCCCAGGACCATTCCCGCATGGAAAATAGACACGCCGGACCATGCCGTCGCCAGGAAGTGACGCTGGGCAACAATCTGGCAATGGGGCTTGAAACTCGATGGTACCATCAAGTTTCCAGCCCCATTGTCAGAGCGTCACCCAGCATCACTTCCTGGTGACAGCATGGTGCGGCGTAGGTGTGTTACAGGGAGGAATGTTCCGGCCAGGGATCATGTGTCCCCCGCCGAATCGCGGTAGGTATTTGGTAACCCTACCACCAAGGCAGGCTCAGGGCAGCTTGATAGATAGATAGATGATAGATAGATGGATGATAGATGATAGATAGATGGATGATAGATGGATGATAGATGGATGATAGATGGATGATAGATGGATGGATAGATGGATGGATAGATGGATGGATAGATGGATGGATAGATGGATGGATAGATGGATGGATAGATTCAGCGAGATCTATTAAAACACAGATTTAAGTAAAACCACAACATATAAAATCATAGGTGCTAGAAACATAGGTATTAATAAATGATGGCGGCATTCTCTCTACATCCAGATGGTCAACTACCACCATAATCCAGATTCTTGCCAGGCTATGGGCTATTAAATTGGTACTGATGTTGGGACCAGCACTGATCAACCCAAGGACCTGGAGATCTATTTGTCTGCTTATTTAATAGTCATAGGGAGCTGATCTTGTATTCAAATAACCTGAACTGAACTCATAAGCCTATTTGTCTTGGGATCTCTGCTTGGTGGCTTCCAAGGTGGCTTAGGTTCCAAATGAAAAATGAAAGAACATGTAAAAGCTACACATGTATATACATGAAGCTGCCTTATATTGAACCAGACCATTGGTCCACCAAGGTCAGTATTGTCTACTCGGTAGGCAATTGCACTCCAGGATCTCAGGCAGAGTTCTTTCACATCACCTATGACCGGATCTTTAACTGGATATGCCAGGGATTGAAACCGGGACCTTCTGCATGCCAAGCAGCAGTTCTTCCACCGAGCCACAGCCCTCCCCCCCAAGAGCCAAACTACAAGTGAGAGCGGACACAGGCCCATCCAATGACCACCAATTCCATTTTCAAAGCATCTGTAGTTCTTTAGAAATCGCCACCAGATCCCAATCCAGATTGGGCACATGGCACAGTGCCCCCCACCCCTGCACCTTTTCAAGTGCCAAAACAGCCATTGGATGTGGCTATTTCTTCACCTGAAAAAGCTAAATCCCTACGAATGCTTTTCAAATGGTATTGATGATCGTGGGATGGACCTGTGTCAGTCAAATGGAGCTGGGGTGCTAGTCAGATGGAGTCCAGAACAGGCTGAGGTCAGGAGCCAAGAAAACAGTGCAAAGTCCAAAGCCAAGCTGGGGTCAGGAGCCAGAAACATAGAGCCAAATCCAAAATCACTAACCAGAAGTGTAGTCCAAAGCCAAGCCAGGGTCAGGAGCCAGGAACACAGAGCCTAGTCCAAAGCCAGGGGGTCCAAAGGTGTAGGTGCAAGAGCCAAGCTGGAGTGGATGCAAGCAGCACGAAGTTGACTCTGTTGCTTCCACGAAGAGTATTGCCCAGAGTGTGGAGTTAAATGCTGCTACCAATTAGCCAGGTGCACGATTGGCCAGGCTCCTCTTAGAACTCTGGGCTGGCTGAGCGTCTCCCTTGTAGCCTGGCCTCTCTTCATCTGGTTGCTAAGTTTTGCCACAGCCACACGTGGAGGTGAGTCAGGAGGACTTTCCGCTTGCAGTTCTTCCTTCTTATCTGGGCCAGGTGTGAAGACTGCTGTTACAGGCACTTGTTAGCTATCCTCCTCTGCTGCTTCAGAGAGGCCAGCTGTGGTTTCTGCAGGCTCTGTCAGTTCATCCTCATCCATGCCCATGACACCTGCCATCACTTGGGTTCAAAGTCACATTAAAATAAGATAGATTCAGGTGGGTAGTAAAGCAATAGAACAGGGTTCAAAGTCACATTAAAATAAGATAGATTCAGGTGGGTAGTAAAGCAATAGAACAGAGTTGGAGTCCAGTGGCACCTTGAAGACCAACAAAGTTTAATTCTGGGTATAAGCTTTCATGTGCATGTGCACCTTGATGGACCAATGGTCTAGTTCAGTATAAGGCAGCTTCATCTATATACATGTGTCACTTTTACATGATCTTTCATTTGGAACCTGAGACGTAAGCCACCTCGGAAGCCACCAAGCAGAGATTCCAAGAGAAATAGTCCTATGAGTTCAGTTTATTTCAATACAGGATTCCTATGATTATTAAATTAGACAAATAGATTCCCAGACATGCACATGGAAGCTTATGCCCAGAATTAAACTTCGTTGGTCTTAAACGTGCTACTGGACCCCAACTTTGTTCTGTTAAAATAAGATGCATTAGACCAGCATAAGTGCAAAAGTGCAAAAGCACACAAAAAAATGATGCACATCCCTACATTTCATATTTCACTCGTAGAGATCCACTGTACTACGCTACTGCGTACCCAAGTGTGAGGTGGGAGGGTCTTCTAGGAAGCTCAGATATTTTCCTTTGGACATCTAAGCTCCTCCCCTCATTATCAAGCCAAGGAACAAATTCCAATTCTTGGATTTTGGACGCTCGCATCTGCTACAGTGAAGGATGCTGAAAGTCCACACTTTAGATTTTTTTTTAAAATAAAATGATCAGGAAGGCTGGAAGATCAGCCCTCAGCACGTCAATGTTTTTGTTCTTTGCTTCCCTTGTTGTTGTTCAGTCGCACAGTCGAGTCCGACTCTTCGTGACCCCATGGACCAGATCACGCCAGGCCTTCCTATCTTCCGCCGTCCTCTGAAGTTTGCTCAATTTCATGTTTGTTGCATCTATGACACTGTCTGACCATCTCATCCTTTGCCGTCCCCGTCTTCTTTGTCCTTCAATTTTTCCCAGCATCAGGGTCTTCTTCTCCAGTGAGTGCTCCCTTCTCATTTGGTGGCCAAAGTATTTGAGCTTCAGTTTCATTATCTGGCCTTCCAGGGAACAGTCAGGGTTGTAATTGTGCAACTTCCATTCGGCTGAGCAGTTTGTCTAACCCCGTTGCTAAAGAGGAGGATGGCCCGTGTCGGGTCGGCTCTCTGTTCCTGTTTGACCTCAGTTGTTCCACGGAAGGCAGAGGATGTACATTCTCGCCAGCACATAAAATTGGAAGCTAACACGTAATTGCCTCTCGCCTCCAGGTGTGCTCTTTCCACTCAAACAGTGAGAGAAACGATCCATGTTGCCTCAGACCTAAGATTATACTGGTTTTAATTGCAGGTTGCCAACTTGGCGTGCTCAATTTCCAATAACGAAGAAGGAGTCAAGTTAGTCCGTATGGCGGCAACCCAGATTGACAGTCTGTGCCCACAGGTAAGCCAGAAAGAAACCTCTGCGCCATTAGAGAGCATAAGGTATTTGACACAGAAAAACACCCGGTACGAAGATTAGAGTCTCGCACTTTCCATTATATTGCTGATTGTCGTGCCCTAATAGCGGGGAGGGGGGAAAATGCATTTGTATACAGAGCCTCACTTAATGAACAGAATGATCAAAGCACACAGCTGTGCTTTTAACGCACTCTTTAATCAATTTGTTCTTTTTCCCCTGGAGGAAAGGGCCTTATTTTCTTTTTTCGCCATTGCTCATAAGCGCTGGTTTCTGACTCACAGGTAATCAACGCAGCGCTCACGTTGGCCGCCAGACCTCAGAGCAAAGTGGCCCAAGACAACATGGACGTCTTCAAAGACCAGTGGGAGAAGCAAGTCCGGGTGCTCACTGAGGCGGTCGATGACATCACTTCCGTGGACGACTTCCTCTCTGTCTCAGGTGACTCTCTCAAAAAAAGACCTGAAGGATTTGTATTTATAGCAGTGTAAGGCAGGGATCCTCTGCTAGTGTCCGTGAGAACCATGACACCTACCACTACCTGCCAACTGTTTTGGGGTTTTTTTGAGAAACAGATAATAAGTGTAAGAGTACAACCCTTTAAGATTTTGTCCCATTGGTGTCAACCACCACAGCAGCTATCACAAGTTTATACAATGTACTGACCTCTCTGCTGGAAGGGGTGTAGGGGAGGTGGCTACAAGCATGGATGGCTTCTAGAGGGAATTGGATAAACCTATGGAGCAGAGGTCCATCAGTGGCTATGGGCCACAAGGTATAGATAGGAACTCTCAGTCTGAGGCAAGGGATGCTCTGTATTCTTGGTGCTTGGGGGGGGGGAGGGCAACAGTGGGAGGGCTTCTCGTGTCCTGGCCCCACTGCTGGACCTCCTGATGGCACCTGTTATTTTTGGCCACTGTGTGACACAGAGTGGTGGCCTGGATGGGCCATTGGCCTGATCCAACATTGGCTTCTCTTATGTTCTTTTGTTGGTGGCAGTGTGAGAGAATTGAGCAATTCTGGAAGACAATCTTGGACCAAATATTCCTTATAACGAGGGAGGTTGTCCCATTCACACCGGAGATATTGTTTCTTAATTATTGGAAGGGTAGCATACCTTCTAATAGCTGCCAAAACATCTATAGTGGCTAATTGGAAATACCCAAATGCTCCTACGCTTCATATATGGCAACATAAGGTATGGGGTATGTACACAATGGAAAGAATTACGTATAAACCGAATCAGTTTGAAAATAATCCTCCTTCCTCGGATTGTGTAGAAGTGTGGCCACTGATATTGAACTACTTGATGCAGATGGGAGTGGTCCTCAAAAATGTGAAGCACTTAACTGAAATGCCATATTAAGGATGTTTATAAGTTACAAGATATGATGTTTGGTAATGCTTATTTACTTTCTATTCCAATTTTCTTTGTTGTTTGTTTGTTTTGGTAATTTGTTTTACGCTTGTGTATTTGTTGGTGTTATGGAATTCAAATTGTCAAATAAAAAAAAGGTGGTGGTGGGGGAAGAAAGTGGGCAAGGCAAGGTGGGGCTTTTGCCCAGCAAGGCTTTTGACTGGTCACTGAGTATTTGATTGGCGGCATGGATTTTTAAAAGTGTTGCTTTGGCAGTGGCTGCCACAAGAAGTGGAGGCCACCACAAAATGAGGTTGTGCATAAATATAATAATGATGATGATGATGATGATGATGATGTCAAGTCAGCCTTTATTGGCATATATCAGTAAATCAAAATCAAGTAGAGAGAGACTGTATTACAAATACATTGAGTAAAAACTTAAGTTACAACTGTGGCACAGCTTCATAGTGGATTGAAGGAACTTAGCCGCCTTCTCAGTTACTTCAACAGAGGAATCATTCAGAAGTTTGTAAACTTTGTGGGAGTCTAAAAGACCCACCATTGGCCAATAGTGAGAGCCAGTTTGGTGTAGTGGTTAGGTGCACGGACTCTAATCTGAGAGAACCGGGTTTGATTCCCCAGTCCTCCACTTGCAGCTGCTGGATGACCTTGGGCAAGCCATAGTTCTGGCACAGCTGTTCTTGAAAGAGCAGTTTCTGTCAGAGCTTTCTCAGCCCTGCCTACCTCACAGGGTGTCTGTTGTGGAGAGGGGAGGGGAAGGGAAAGAAGAAGTAGAAGAAGAGATTGGATTTATATTCACTACCCAAAGGAGTCTCAGAGCGGCTTACAAGCTACTCTGAGTGAAGGGCGAGGTATAAATCCAATCTTCTCCTCCTCCTCCTCCTCCTCCTCCTCCTCTTCTTCTTCATTTAAATATTTAGAGTATATATTTGCATAAAGGTAACATGTAAGTAAGAATAACAATAACAACTCTAAGAGTCACTCTTCAAAATTTCAGGTACAAGCTCTGTTTAACAGGATGCCTTTTCAAATGGATAGATCGTTTATAAAATATTTCCTTGCATACACAGAGCTTACCTCTGGTCGTGCTGAAGATCCCTGCGCCGTGGCGGCTGAAGCTACTCTATGCAAATCCGTGCGGGCGATTAGATCTGTAATGGCCAATCAGAAGGTCTGTGGGGCAAAAGTCCCACCTGACCCGGCCCACTCCCTAAAAACGCTTTCCAGGCTCCAGGACGGGTGTCAGCAGCCACCACCGCGCACACGGGCACCCTATCCGGAATCCCGGCTCGAGACATACCCTAAAAGTGGTATCCAATGTTCCCTCCAATCTGTGGAGTCTTGTGAGCAAAAATTCTACTTAGTGAGCTACTGGCATTGACATTATGAGCGAGCAATTTGGCTACTGCATCAATCAGTTTGCTCTGGAGCCGTCCTTCCCGAGCCACGACAAAAATGTGTGAGCCGGAGGCTAAAAAACTGTGAGCCAACTCACACTAACTCAGCTTAGAGGGAACACTGGTGGTATCTGATGAGGACGGACAGAAGAAAATAGGCATTGTTTATATATCCCACTTATTCTATTTATTTAACCACACGCTTCCCGCAAAGAGTTCCGTGCGGCATAACCAGCCCCCCCCTCCACTTTTATCCTGACCACAGTCTGAAAGAGAACGTCTGACCCACGTCACGCGGTAAGCTGTTCGGCGAGCGAGGATTTAAAACGAAGTCTCTCCAAGCCAAAGGGCCTAACTGAATGCGATAAAAGGAGATCCGCCAGCAGATTGTGGGCTGGTGCTTCTCTTTGATTTAAATAGTAGCCAGTTTGGGTCCACAGTCCAGGGAAGGGTTAAAAACAACACAAAAAAACCACCTCTTTCTCCCCAGGGCAGTCTGAATTTCATTCACACACAGACACGTATATGGAGCTGTTCCACAGGGAGGCGCATACGCCCACAGTGCGGCCACTCGTATCTTTTTCCTCCACAGTTGAAATCATTAGAATAGCTCAAGCAGAAGAGCAAACCCCGGCCCTCCCGTACTGCAGGTGCCTTCGATCCAGATTCATCTCTCCAGCTAAACAGCGGGGGAGCCACTCACAGCTCTCTTGTCATCAGGCCCCAACTCTAACCACTGCACACAATTGGCTTCCCACAAATACAAAGTGAGATGCAGGTCCCTGATAGAGAGCCAGTTTGGTGAGGTGGTTAAGTGCGCGGACTCTAATCTGGGAGAACCGGGTTTGATTCCCCACTCCTTCACTTGCACCTGGCTGGATGACCCTGGGCAAGCCATAGTTCTGATAAGAGCTGTCCTTGAAAAAAGAGCAGTTTCTGTCATAGCTCTCTCAGCCCCTTTGGGTAGTGAAGGGTGGGGTATAAGACGCCTTTGGGTAGTGAAGGGTGGGGTATAAATCCAATCTCCTCTTCTTCTTCTTTTACCTCACAGGGTGTCTGTTGTGGGGAGGGGAAGGGAAAGGAGTTTGGAAGCCGCTCTGAGACTCCCTTGGGTAGTGAAGGGCGGGGTATAAATCCAATCTCCTCCTCCTCCTCCTCCTCCTCGTCTTCTTCTTCATCTTGTTGTTGTTCTTCTTCTTCCAGCCTTCCGTTCCATAGTTGGAAGAATAGTGTCCGTCAGGTCTCCACACAGATGGGCTTATGCCATCAGTGCCCTGATCACTCCGGGGGCACTGCAGATTTCACTGTAAACACATTTGAAAGTTGAACATACCACGTTTGATGGTATTTCTCCGTTTACTTGGAGCAGCCACAAACACTTGCCGAACTGGTTTGCTTTTGGTTATCGCAAAACTGCATGCCTAAAGAAGAGAGCTGAAACTGATCAGTGGTCATTAGTGCCTCTCAGGAATACTTTGACAAACACCCAAATGTAAGATTTTATTAAACCACAGCATTTATTTATGACCGATTCATACAACTTGTGGGTGATCTAAACAATTGTCCTCCAAGCAAAAAGGTTAGGCAACAAGGTAGAAGAAGAAGAAGAGAAGAAGAGACTGGATTTATACCCCACCCTTCTTTCCCTTCCCCTCCCCACAACAGACACCCGGTGAGGTAGAAGAAGAAGAAGAAGAGATTGGATTTATACCCCGCCCTTCACTACCCAAAGGAGTCTCAGAGTGGCTTACAAACTCCTTTCCCTTCCCCTCCCCACAACAGACACCCTGTGAGGTAAAAGAAGAAGAAGAAGAGATTGGATTTATACCCCGCCCTTCACTACCCAAAGGAGTCTCAGAGTGGCTTACAAACTCCTTTCCCTTCCCCTCCCCACAACAGACACCCTGTGAGGTAAAAGAAGAAGAAGAAGAGATTGGATTTATACCCCGCCCTTCACTACCCAAACTAGTCTCAGAGCGGCTTACAAACATCTTTCCCTTCCCCTCCCCACCACAGACACCCTGTGAGGTAAGTGGGGCTGAGAGAGCTCTTTACAGAAACTGCCCTTTTCCAAGAACAGCTGTGCCAGAACTATGGCTTGCCCAAGGTCATCCAGCAGCTGCAAGTGGAGACATGGGGAATCAAAATCGGTTCTCCCAGGTTAGCATCCGCGCACTTAACCACTACACCAAACAGTACAGGGGTACTGGAACTCCATTGGTCTGTGTGAGAACACACACGTGGGAAATGCCAACTGGGCTACAATTTACTGAAAGTCCACAAAAAGACCAACAAAGTATTGAACTGATTGTCAGGCAATCTGGTCTTGGTTTGCTACCTGAACCAGCAAACGTGACATTACACCACACATGACATTATGTCCACTGGGAAAAGGAACACATGCTCTCAACCCCTCCACTGTGGGTAGAACAGCGTTAGCTTGCATGAGGACGTGCGCTAGCCCTTGAAGCGGAGGGTTCAGCTTGTCAGAGATAGCCCTTAAGAGCAGAGACGCAATTAGCGATGAAATCAAATGATCCAATCAAGCCTTCCCATTGATGAATCCCCAGAAGGTCTAGCTGGCGTTCCATCAACTTGAAACCACACAAGAGAAGTACTTTTGTAGTCAAATCCATGATCGATGGCCTGTGTCCAAACGGGCT